GATTGCTAATACGGTGATCAAGCGAATCAACAAAATTAAAACACTAGAAATCAAGTTCAAAGATTTAAACTTTCACCAAGAACCTATATCAATTCATCATCAATCACCAAAAAGTTGGGTTCTTTCCCAACCCTAGACAAGAAATCTACTCACACATGATTGGAATAAGAGAAGACATCAAATAATTATGCAAATCAATCATAAGAAGAAATAAATCAAAGAGAGGAAAGAATTAACCCGTCTTTCAATTGAAATCTTCAAAATAAGAACTTGCAATCCAATCTTCTACAAGAGATTAATGTCTTCCTTCAATACTTGAACCCTAGAATAGTTGCTAGTTGATGGCTAAAAGAACATAACAAAAGATATCCAAAACCCTAAGTCAAAACATCTATTTATATGTCTCCAAAAATCTGGAAAATAACTAATTCCCGCGCCACCGGTGTGGTCTGCACCACACCAGGGTGTGGTAGGGGCTGTTTTGCTGATTTTGTGCTTGTTTCTTCAGTTTTCGGTATTTTGGCTATAACTTTTGCGTCCGACCTCGGAATGAGGTGATTCAAGTTGCATTGGAATCCTGTTGAAGAGATCTACAACTTTCATCTTTTGAGTTTTTCTTGATTCAAACTGCATCATGGTCGAAATTCCAGTTCTTCATACTCGTGCATCCATTTTCTTCACGAACCATGCCTTCAAAATCTTGTTGTTGCTTCAAACTCTTGTAAAACTTCCAACGATCATCAAATCTTTCAATCTTGAGCCAATACCTACATATAAGAACACAAACCACAGCAGTATCCTCGATCTAAACACAAAATATGCATTAAACACTCGTAAATCATGCTTAAAACACACTAAGATAATGCATATTTTACGTGTTTATCACTCTCTTCAAAGAATATTCGTATCGTGCCATCGTTTAGTCTTTTCTTTATAAATGCGAGCATTCTCATAGGAATCTAATCGTAGTTCATTGCCATCGTTTAGTCTTTTCTTTATAAATGCGAGCATTCTCATAGGAATCTAATCGTAGTTCATCTAGCTCATGAAGTTGAAGCTTTCTTTTCTCACCTGCGACCTTCATATCGAAATTGAGAAACTTGATAGCCCAATAAGCCTTGTGCTCTAACTCAACTGGGAGATGACATGATTTGCCATACATCAATCTGAATGGTATCATACCTATGTGTGTTTTGTAGGCAGTTCGATAGGCCCATAAAGCATCCGAGAGTTTCATAGACCAGTCCTTTCTCGATCGATTAACTATTTTCTCCAAGATACTCTTAATTTCTCGATTCAAAACCTACACTTGACCACTAGTTTGAGGATGATATGGCGTGGCAGCCTTATGGGTGACCCCATATTGTCTTAAGAGAGCTTTAGATTTTCTTTCAATGAAGTGTGAACCTCCATCACTGATTACCGTCCGTGGCATCCCAAATCTTGGAAAAATAACATTCTTGAATAGTTCCACAATAACTTTAGCATCGTTGGTGGGGGATGCTATCGCTTCTACCCATTTGGAGACGTAGTCCACCGCCACTAAGATGAACTTGTTGTTACACGATGACGGAAACGGTCCCATGAAATCTATGCCCCACACATCAAAGACCTCAATTTCCAACGGTCCCATGAAATCTATGCCCCACACATCAAAGACCTCAATTTCCAAGATGGAGTGTAAAGGCATCTTATGTCGCTTCAAAATGTTCCCGGTCTTCTGACAATTATCACAAGATTTCACAAACTGATTTGTATCCCGAAAAAGACTCGGCCAATAGAAACCTGATTGTAGAAATTTTGCAGCTGTCTTTGAAGTGCTTGCATATCCCCCGTAGGAAGATGAGTGGCAATGATGGAGAATACTGGCAACCTCATCTTCAGGAATACACCTTCTGAACATCCCATCAACACACCGTTTGTATAAAAACGGTTCATCCCAAAAATAATACTTCAAGTCAGCAAAGAACTTCGTCTTCTGTTGATAGCTCAGATCCGGAGGTAAGACTCCACACATTATGTAGTTGACGAAGTCCGCATACCATGGTGCATCCAATCTTTCTATGGCTAACAATTAATCATCTGGGAAAGATTCGTCGATCGGTAGTTCATCCTCCTCCCTATCATGTGATTCTGGTTTCATCCTCGACAAATGGTCTGCCACCAAATTTTCCGTCCCTTTCTTGTCCTTGATCTCTAGGTCAAATTCTTGCAAAAGTAGTATCCATCGGATCAACCTAGGCTTGGCATCTTGCTTGCTCAAAAGATATTTGATGGCGGAATGATCGGTATAAACGATGACTTTGGAACCCACTAAGTAAGACCTGAACTTGTCAAAGGCGAATACAACTGCTAATAGCTCCTTTTCAGTGGTAGCGTAGTTAACTTGAGCTTCATCAAGAGTGCGACTAGCATAATAAATTGCATGAACTATCTTGTTCTTCCTTTGGCCCAACACAGCACCAACCGCATAATCACTTGCATCAGTCATGACTTCAAATGGGAGATTCCAGTCCGGCGGTTGCATAATAGGAGCTGTTATCAATGCTTCTTTCAACCTGCAAAAAGCATCAAGACATTCATCAGTGAAATCAAAGGTAGCATCTTTAAGAAGAAGGTTAGTTAAGGGTTTTGAAATTTTTGAGAAATCTTTGATGAAACGCCGATAGAAACCGGCATGTCCCAAGAAACTTCTTACTCCCCTAACCGACGTTGGTGGAGGCAATTTTTCAATGACTTCCACTTTTGATCGATCAACCTCAATTCCACGCTCAGACACCTTGTGCCCTAAAACTATTCCATCCCTTACCATAAAGTGGCATTTCTCCCAGTTTAGGACTAAATTAACTTCTTCGCAACGCTGCAAAACTCGAGACAAGTTAGATAAACAACCATCAAAAGTAGTTCCATACACGGAGAAGTCATCCATAAACACGTCCATAATATCCTCTATAAAATCAGAGAAAATGGCCATCATACATCGTTGAAAAGTGGCGGGGGCATTGCAAAGACCAAAAGGCATGCGCCTATAAGCAAAGGTCCCATAGGGACAGGTAAAAGTGGTCTTTTCCTGGTCACTAGGATGGATAGGAATTTGGAAAAATCCCGAATAGCCATCTAAATAACAAAAATATGAATGCCTAGCCAACCTTTCCAACATCTGGTCTATAAAGGGAAGTGGAAAATGATCTTTTCGGGTTGCCTTGTTCAATTTCCTATAATCAATACACATCCTCCAACCCGTAACCGTCCTAGTAGGGATAAGTTCGTTATTTGCATTCTTAACTACGGTCACACCTCCCTTTTTAGGAACCACATGAACCGGGCTAACCCATTCACTATCAGAAATAGGATAGATTACCCCAGAATCTAGTAGCTTAAGCACTTCCTTTTTAACCACTTCTTTCATGTTAGGATTTAATCTACGTTGGTGTTCTATAGAGGGTTTATGATCATCTTCCAAGAGAATTCTATGCATGCAAATTGATGGATTAATTCCCTTAATGTCGTTCATGGTGTATCCTATGACCTTGCGATGCATCCTAAGTGTTCTAAGCAACTTATCAGTTTCATTTTCATTCTCGGTAGTTCATCCTCCTTATCATGTGATTCTTGTTTCATCCTCGACAAATGGTCTGCCACCAAATTTTTCGTCCCTTTCTTATCCTTTATCTCTAGGTCAAACTCTTGTAAAAGAATTATCCATCGAATCAATCTAGGCTTGGCATCTTACTTGCTCAAAAGATATTTGATGGCGGAGTGGTCGGTATAAACAATGACTTTGGACCCCACTAAGTAAGACCTGAACTTGTCAAAGGCGAAAATAACTGCTAATAACTCCTTTTCAGTCGTAGCATAGTTAACTTGGCCTTCATCAAGAGTGTGACTAGCATAATAAATTGCATGAACTATCTTGTCCTTTCTTTGACCCAACACAGCACCAACCGCGTAATCACTTGCATCAGTCATGACTTCAAATGGGAGATTCCAATCCGGCGGTTGCATAATAGGAGCTGTTATCAATGCTTCCTTCAACCTATAAAAAGCATCAAGACATTCATCAGTGAAATCATAGGGAGCATCTTTAAGAAGAAGTTTAGTTAAGGGTTTTGTAATTTTTAAAAAGTCTTTGATGAAACGCCGATAGAAACCGGCATGTCTCAAGAAACTTCTTACTCCCCTAACCGATGTTGGTGGCGGTAATTTTTTAATGATTTCCACTTTTGCACGATCAACTTCAATTCCTTGCTCGGACACCTTGTGTACTAGAACTATTCTATCCCTTACCATAAAATGACATTTCTCCCAATTTAGGACTAAATTAACTTCTTCGCAACGCTGCAAAACTCGAGACAAGTTAGCTAAACAACCATCAAAAGTAGTTCCGTACACAGAGAAGTCATCCATAAACACGTCCATAATGTCTTCTATAAAATAAGAGAAAATAGCCATCATACATCGTTGAAAAGTGGCAGGGGCATTACAAAGACCGAAAGGCATGCGTCTATAAGCAAAGGTCCCATAAGGACTAATAAAAGTGGTCTTTTCTTGGTCACTAGGATGAATAGGGATTTGGAAAAATCCCGAATAGCCATCTAAGTAACAAAAATAGGAATGCCTAGCCAACCTTTCCAACATTTGGTCTATAATGGGAAGTGAAAAATGATCTTTTCGGGTTGTCTTGTTCAATTTTCTATAATCAATACACATCCTCCAACCCGTAACCATCCTAGTAGGGATAAGTTCGTTATTCGAATTCTTAACTACGGTCATACCGCCTTTTTTTGGAACCACATGAACCGGGCTAACCCATTCACTATCTGAAATAGGATAGATTACACCAACATCAAGTAGCTTAAGCACCTCTTTTTTAACCACTTCCTTCATGTTAGGATTTAATCTACGTTGGTGCTCTATAGAGGGTTTATGATCATCTTCCAAGAGAATTCTATGCATGCAAATCGATGGGTTGATTCCTTTAATGTCGTCCATGGTGTATCCTATGACCTTGTGATGCACCCTAGTGTTCTAAGCAACTTATCAGTTTCATTTTCATTTAGACATGCATTCACAATCACAGGATAAGTAGAGTCAGGGCCAAGAAATTCATGCCTTAAAGAGGAAGGAAGGGGTTTTAATTCTACCTTTGGCGCATTATCCTTTTCACAAATAGATCCTTTTGGCTCTAGCATCAATCTTTCAAGCTTTGCATTTCGAAGTGGAGCAGTTGATGTTGATTCTAAAGATTGAGCATATGCGGCTACCTCGGGGTCTTCATCATTTATTGAACCATCACTTACCAAACATTTCTCAAGTGGATCAGCTGAGTTATTGTTTGCAATTTGCTCATGTGTACACTTGTCAATGACGTCGACCATGTAACAAATTTTATTAGTTAGAGGGAGTTTCATAGTATTACTTAAATCAAATTCTACCGTTTCCCCTCTAATATTTAGGGAGAGCCTTCCATTTTTAACATCTATTATAGCACCTGGAGTAGCAAGGAAGGGTCTTCCTAATATAATTGGAGTGTAAGAATCTTCTTCTATTTCTAAAATAACGAAATCGACAGGGATAAAGAACTTACCGACCTGGATAGGTACATCTTCAAGTATACCTACCGGATATTTTACTGATCGATCTGCCAATTGGAGTGATATCGTGGTTGGCTTCAAGTCACCTATGCCAAGCTTCTTACAAATAGACATCGACATCAAACTTACGCTTGTACCTAAATCACACAAAGCACGGTTAATAGAGACATTACCAATAACACAAGGAATAGAAAATAAACCTGGATCCTTAAGCTTAGGAGGTAGCATATTCTGGATGATAGCACTATACTCCTCAGTAAGGGCCACAGTCTCGTATTCTTCCAACTTCCTTTTATTGGATAGGATCTCTTTCAAGAACTTAGCATAGGAAGGCATTTGAGAGATAGCTTCACTGAACGGGATATTGATGTGCAACTTTTTCAAAATCTCCAAAAATTTTCGAACTGCTTTTGTAACTTAGCTTTAACTAACCTTTGGGGAAAGGGTAGAGGAGGCTTGTAAGGAGCGGGGGCCACATATTTCTCAACTTTTTCTTCTTCCTGCATCTGGGTCTCATTATCCACATCTATCACAATTTTACTTTTCTCTTCATGATGACCATCTACTCCATCATTTTCCTTCATCTTAGGTCCCTCATATTGTTTTCCACTCCTAAGTGTTATAGCATTCACATGACCCCTTGGATTTATCTCAGGTTGTCCAGGTAGCATACCTGAAGGCCTAGCAGAAGAGCTAGCATTTTGCGCCAATTGAGTGATTTGTGTCTCTAACATCTTGTTATGTGTAGCTAGGGAATCCATCTTAGAGGACAATTGTTTTACTACCTCATTCGTGGTTTATTGTTGTTGCTTAAACTCTTCATTTAATTTCGACTGAGTCGTCACAAACTTTTTCATCATATTTTCCAAATTAGACCTTTGAGGAGGGAGATTGGATTGAGGAGCACGAAAACCAGGTTGACCAAAATTAGATGCAAGCATGGGATTTCCAGGTGGGTTTCTATAAGAAAAATTAGGATGATTCCTCCACCTCGGATTATAAGTGTTGGAGAAAGGGTCTCCCTTCTTATTAAAGTTATTAACATAGTTAACATGTTCATTATCAGAAGTATTAAGGGATAAGGGGTTTCCTAATTGACATTCAAGTGCAGAATGACCCACATAACCGCATATCTCACATGCAATTGAAGTAGACGTCATAGAATTAATACTCAAGCTTTCAACCTTTTTAAATAAAGCATCAACTTTAGAGGATATATGATCTAAAGCATCTATTTCATACTTGCCACCTTTTGATGTCTGAGCCCGCTCGTTCGCCCATTGATAGTGATTTTGAGCCATGTTTTCAATGAGAGTATATGCCTCATCTATTGTTCTGTTCATCAAAGCTCCTCCTGCAACAGCATCAACAGTCATCCGAGTGTTGTAAGTGAGCCCGTTGTAGAAGGTGTGAACAATTAACCACTTCTCCAGTCCATGGTGAGGGCACATCCTCAATAATTCCTTGTAACATTCTCAAGCTTCATAGAGTGACTCTCCTTCCTTCTGTACAAAGCTTGTGATCCGGTTCCTCATCTGTGCTGTTTTACTTGGGGAAAATTACTTTGCAAGAAATGCCCTGGACAACTGATCCCAAGTGGTGATGGACCCAGCGGGCAATGAGTGTAACCAAGCCCTAGCATTGTCCTTTAAAGAGAAAAGAAATAATCTGAGTCGAATAGCATCATTGGTCACTCCATTAAGCTTCAAAGTGTCGCAATACTCCAAGAAAATTGACAGGTGGAGATTCGGGTCTTCAGTAGCACCTCCTCCAAACTGATTTTGCTGAACCATTAAGAGCAGTGATGGTTTAAGCTCAAAATTATTACCTTAAACAGTGGGCCTTGTAATACTCGAATGCGTGCCTTGAGCATTTGGGGTAGCGAAATCCTTAAGAAGCTGATTCTGATCACCCATTATAGCTTGTTCTGTGTTCCTTTGCTCCCTTATGTACCTTCTTATCTCTGCAAGAGTCACCGATAATTCAGGATTGTTTTCGTTGTGTACTTCTGTTTGATGCCCTTGCATAAAAGAAAGTGAGTACCGAAGAGAATAAAAAAATCTAGTCTAGTTTAATAACGTAAATACTTAATATTAACACCGTAGTCCCCGGCAACGGCGCCAAAAACTTAATGGGCAAAATCTGCAAGCGCACAGACTCGTTGTAGCTATCAAGGTCGATCCCACAGGGACGAGGGTTAATTATCAAATCTCACGTTATTCGACTAGCTAAACTAATGAGTATATTAGAAGAGATGAAAATTAAAAGAAATAAAATAATAACTAATCAGGTGGAATTCAATATAATGAAGAGCCAGGATTGGGTTTTCACCACAACTTCAATGCTCAATGATGAATTATTTCAGTTCTCGGTGTTGGTTTAAACTAAAAAGGGTGAATTAGCCTAAATTAATCTAAAGCCTCTTTCAAGGTCTAAAGATCGTGCCTAATTAATCTCAATTAACCTACTTTCGTGGAATCAAGATCAAATTAAACTCATTAAGCTTCATGCTAATCCAATTTAAATCCCCAAGGAATCTAGCCTACTTTCGTGGTTCGAGCTCCATGCTTAATCTCTAGAGATCCGGTATAAATCTTCACATTTCAGTCCTTCAATTAATTACCTATGATTGCTAATACGGTGATCAAGCGAATCAACAAAATTAAAACACTAGAAATCAAGTTTAAAGATTTAAACTTTCACTAAGAACCTATATCAATTCATCATCAATCACTAAAAAGTTGGGTTCTTTCGCAATCCTAAACAAGAAATCTACTCACACATGATTGGGATAAGAGAATACATCAAATAATTATTGGCCTTCTTGTTTTGATGATGTTTAACAAATAATTTACCACTAATGTTGTTTGTCTAGTATTTGTGTTTTCTTATTTATTATAGACAAACAACGTAGTTGGAGGATGGATGGAATAGAGCTTCAACGAACATATCCAATGGAGGTTGGCGGAATATCGGTATGAAGCTATGCAAATTCAAGTTGAAGATCCAAGTTCAAGCTTCATCCGCAAGTGTACCAAGTTGAGCTCATTGAAGACCTTCATCAAGCTTGGGTATATAGTTTATAATGTTTGTAGTTTAGGTTTTATATAATGTGTGTTAATTCTATAAGCTCAAATATACACACACATATATATTTGTGATTTTCGTAAATATAGGTGTTTTTATGAAAAATATGTTTTGGACTATATATACATCATAAACATCTTTTATTATGTCCATACAAATATTTTACAAAGTTTCAAAACTTGGTTTATGTTAAAACATCAAAATTCAAGTATCTCATGTTTACATGTTTTGGATATTTTTGTAATATGACAAGTTTTCACAAATGATAAGTGAAATTCCAAAAATTCCTTTTGTAACATGTTCATCAACATGTTTATAAATATTTTCCAAAGTTTTATATTTTTCATAATTTATTTGTTTTTTTAAGGCACTTTAAAAATCAGATTTTCAGCATGAATAGTGTCTGTGCATGTTTATAAGTCGACTTATAAACCCTGACAAGTCGACTTATGAAATCCTCTAGAAAGTGCATTTTCCCTCTACTAAGTCGACTTATAAAGCAAGTCAAGTCGACTTATAGTAAGTCGACTTATACAAGTCGACTTATGAAGTGTTGCACAGTTATGTATTTTCGACTAGTTTACAAAATAAATTATTTCTCTCAAGTTGAAAGTGATATTTAAGAAATTCTTTCTCTAACATGTTCATATACATGTTTAAAAACTTCCCACAAAATTTTAAAATTTTTAGAGTTGATTTACTATTTTTAATTGATTTTACAAAACCAGATACACAAAATTTCAGACTCTACCGAAAACCTGTACTGTCTGTTAAGTCGACTTGAAGTCGACTTATAAGCTGAAAATTTGGCTGTACGGCTAGTTATAAGTCGACTTATCACTGTAGCAAGTCGAATTATTACTGCATAACGGCTAGTTTTCCAGACTCCTTGTTTTTCGGGGTTTTTGTCCTTTTGCTGGGTTTTTCTTAAATTTTGGGGTCTCCTATATATACCCCCTTATACCCAGCTCTATAATTATCCAAGAGAGTTTTTAACCAAGTTTAAAAGAATTTTAACAAGGGATTTAGTTTGGTTTAAGTGTGTTTAAGAAGCTTTTAAGTATTTGGAAGTTTGAGTTTGAGAAATCAATTTCACAAGAGCTTGAGGAGATCATCTATTGGTGTTTGGGCATCCAACTATTCTCCTTCTACATCTTGATCTATTGAGAAGTTTTCTAACTCTTTTCTCTAGCAATTTTATTATTGATTTTCATATTCTTATTATTGCTAGTTTGCTATTTGAGTTAGATTTGATTTTATCTCATTGTTACACACACCCACTTGAGCTTATTGTATTTACATTCATAATATATTTTGGGTTGGTGAGAGTTGTAACAATTGAGTGTGAGCTTTCATTGTGTTCTCATCCATAGTAGAGAACAAACATTTATTATATTGAGCCTTATTGTGAGATTCACTTTGTAATACACTTGTACACCGAGAGGAGTGTGTGGTGAGAGTCGGGGATCGTTCCAAGAGGAGTGGCGTCGGTTAACGAACCTAGGGAGAGGCTGTAACCGAGCACTTGAGGGAGACACGTCTAGTTCAACACTTGAGAGGGTGTAGAGTAGGATTGCAAGAGTGGTGATTGTAAAGTTTTCGGTTAGCTAGAAAACCGAGTGTGAGGTGTAAACGTTATTCGGGTAAGCGTAGAAAACCCGGTTGTGTTAGTGGATTTCTCCCCGGGAGTGGGGAGCGGAGACGTAGGACAGAAGGTCCGAACTCCGTGACCATTTGATTGTGTTTGAGTGTGCTTTGGCGTTTATTCTTATTTGTGCTCATTGCTCATTTCGCCATTGTCTCATTATTTATATGATCCACTATCTAGTTCACATTGTTTACCCCTTGTGTTAGTTTATATATCCTTGTTTAGGCTATGAATCAAATATTACTCCTAAATTCATCAATTTTTTCTATGCACAATGGGCTTCTAGATTTAAACTATTTGTTGAATCTAGAAATATCAACTTATGGGAAGTTATTGATTGTGCTTATATTGTGCCCACTTTGGAGATATCCAAGTGGAGCAATCATGATAAGAAAGTATTTTCAATGAACAAGTGTTTGTTAGAATTTTTGCTTAATGCTTTTGACTCATCCTTTTCTAACAAATTTGTTCATTTTGATAGTGCTTACAAACTTTGGAAATTTATTGAAGCACATCAAGGGGACTTGGAGGCAATCCGACAAGCTTTGGAGGATTCTTCTTCAAGTTCATGTGGAGCATCATGCACACGGCCACAAGAGGATAATTCTTGTGTAGTAAGCGATTCCGATTCCGAAAATGATTTATCTATTGATGAACTCGCTTGTGCATATGAGAAATTATCGCATGCCTACACTAAATTGCAAAATAATTTTATTGATCTTAAAAGCAAGCATGTTAGTTTAAAATCCGATCATGAGAAGCTAGTCTCCAATTTTGATATCATTTCTCAAGAAAATGTTGCTCTTAAAGAAATTAATGATATGTTAAAATTAGAAAATGAAAAATTAACTTCATCCATTTCTAGCTTAACTCATGCTAATAAAGATGCCATGCTAGAAGTAGAATTCATTAGAAATAAATTTGATTCTTTTAAGAATAACCATATATGCTCTACTTCTATTATCAATGATGTTGTGACCAATAATGAATTGAATCTTATGAAAAACCGCATATCATGCTTAGATT